GTGGGCATGGCGACGCCGCAATCCCTTCTCCTCCATTCTCCTCTCGGGATCTTGGGCACACACGCACATGCGCCTGGCATGAGTTTTTTAAGCCACCGGGTCGGGGACTCGAACCGCAGTCGACTACGTGGGAGTCCAGCGACATAGCCATTACGCTAACTGCTGGTCCTCAGTAGCTGAGTTCTTGATGAATAAATAACAAACAGTCTCACAGTGGATGTGTAAGCCAAGATACGATTGTGCCTTCCCTCTGAAATGGCTTTGCCCACTCACTCTGCACGCATTGATTCTCCTTCACCCACTTCCTGAAAAACCTACGAGCATGCTCCTAAAAATAGGATTCGTTTTTTTCTTTTTTAAAAATTTGCTACAGGACATATTCACTCACCAGAAAGAGACCGAAAGGGAGCATAGAGTAAGAAAGCAACCCCCAGGGGAATGGCCATGCCACAATCGCTTCTCCTCCATTCTCCTCTTGGGATTTTGCCTGGCATGTTTTTTGAGCCACTGGGTCTGGGACTCGAACGCTCAGTCAGCCATGTGAGATCCAGCTGCCTTAGCCTCCACACCACCAGCTAGTCCTAGAAATAGGGTTTTTAACTTGTGAGCATCTTCCTGTTTCACCCAACCCCCCGTAGAACTGCATGGTCCTGGTCCCTGAGGCTCAGCCTCCTGCCCTGTGGACTCTGATCCTTCCTGTGGGCGGTTTCTGCCACTCCTTTCCTGTAGGGGCCCTGTCCAAGACGGCGTGGCATTGGCCCTGGCCAGGCAGTGTCGGGACTAGGCTGACCTTGCCAGTGTCCGACTGTGACTTTGTGTGCCTTGGCTGATCAATGGGCAGCACCTCAAAGTTCAGTCACTGGTTCAGACACCTTTTCCCCACACCCGGATCAACCCGCCTGTCAACCAAGCCACCCTCCCGTCCGTGAGGAGCCATCGGAAGCTGTTCAGCGTAAAACACGCCGCCGTGTGGTGTGTCTTGGCTTTCATTCTCCGTGTCTGTACGTATTCACTGTCCCGAGAGGGCAGGCACGGTGCTTTCCTGACCTCCCTGGCCAGCTGTTGCTGTCTCCAAGGACGTGCTCTATACCTGGCACGGAATGGATTCACGTGCGCATTGGTGTTATTAATACTGTTTTTGGTTTAAAGTCAGGGTCGAGCCTGAAACCTCTCGATTCTCTTACACGTTAGGGGCTCAGAAGGACATGCAGGGGTGTTGATTTATTCCACAGTGTTCAAGCGCCTGCCAAGCCCTGTGCTGAGAGCTCTGGAGAACGTAAAAGCTACTGCGGGCAGGTGCGCGCCTCTGGAAGTTAAGGCCGGAGCTCCATTGACTAATGCGGGGAGAGCCTGCCCGTGCCGGGAGACGTTGAGGAAAAGGAGTAGGGAGGAAGGGGTCACTCCTTGCTGGGAGATTTGGGTTCTGAATGGAGAGAGTGGCCCTTGAGTAACTCCTGGTGGGTGGGACACTTCGAAGGGTGGGGATAAGGGAAGGCATTTCGGTTTCGGTTAGATGGAACAAGCTGAGCACAGTAGAATCAAGGAAGCAGAGAACCGCGGAGAATTCAGTTTGAATATGGAAGCAGCAAATAAGGGTGGTGCAGAAGGTCTTAAAGGAGGAGCGAGGAACACAGCCCTGGGTGAATCTGGCAGAACCCTGGAGAAGGGACTGGGGCAGCAGACTGTGAGACCGTTTCCGGGAGCAGGGGCTGCTGTTGCCTTCATGCAGGGAAGCGGCTGTGAGGCCCTGCTTAGGCACAGGATGCGTGAACAGCATGAAGGGGTGTGTGTGGAAGGGCCGGGAAGACAGAGTGGAGGCTCAGCAGCTGGGCCGCGTGGTGCAGCAGAGAGGAGCCAGAGATGCCCCTGGGTGTTGAGTGAGCGAGCCGGTGGATGAAGAGGACCCGGAGACATGAGTTCCATGGGACAGAGAGTGCTGCAGGAGGCAGCCGGGTGTGGCCGAGCGGGCCTGTCCTTGCAGGCGGAGAGATGTGTGGAAGGAGAGGTGGCACTGATGTGGCCTGCCTTCCACACCGTTCTGTCCTTCCATGGTGGCAGTGGCAGCCCGGGTGTGCTTGCTGCTGGGGTCATTTGTCAGCACACCCTGTGGGTTGTCACTGTTCCTTCCAGTCACCCATGAGCCCTCAGTATTTCACTGAGCTTCCTAGTATTTACAAGTTGAACCCTAAAGGCGCAGCCGAGCGAGGGGCACATGAGCACGGTGCCCCTGGTGGTGCCAGGTGTGTGAGAAACATTGAGCTCTTTAACCCTTCGCCAAAATTACCCCAAAAGTCATTAATCTTTTTTTTAAGGTTTTTTTTTTTTTGAGAAGTTTTCGCTAAAGGGCACGTGTGCTCGTCAAACAGACAGAGAGAGATAGAGAGACAGAAAGCGAGAAATCATCCCCCCAGAGGGGATGGTCACACCGCAATCCCTTCTCCTCCATTCTCCTCTTGGGATCGTGGGCACGCATGCACGCACGCGTGTCCGGTGTAAGTTTTAAGCCACCGGGTCCAGGACACGAACCGCAGTCAACTACATGGGAGTCCAGCGACATAGCCATTACGCTAGCTGCTGGTCCCCCAACCCAAAAGTCATTTCTGAAGTGGCAGTCCTTAACCGCTAGTCGGCAGGATGGGCCGTCGGTGCAGGTGTTACTGTGCGCCTTCCCAGTATTTTCGAATGAATTTTGTCTGTGTTTTGAGATTCGATGTGCTGAGTAGTGTGGAGATCGGATCCCACACTGCCTTAAAAATTGTTCCATTATTTTTATCTTCCTGTTTAAGGTCATTATACTAAAAATAAAAATGTCTTTTGCCCGCTCCTGAGAGTGAATGCACAGGATCAAAGTCCTTCCTGTTGTTTTCCTGTTAGGGACTAGTGATCTCGGGGTGCAGAGGCTGTGCCCACAGTGGAAGGGAAGCAGGCAGGTGTCTGGGACGCGGCCGAGCCGGGCAGTGTGGGCGGAGGGCAGAGCGTGGCCACTGGGGCGGGAGCTGTGCCCAGGTGTAGGGGCAGGACAAGGCCCACTGGGGCGGGAGCTGTGCGCAGGTATAGGGGCAGGACGAGACCCACTGGGGCGGGAGCTGTGCCCAGGTATAGGGGCAGGACGAGGCCCACTGGGGCGGGAGCTGTGCCTGGAGGTTCTTCCTGGCCGGGCGCTGCCTCTTCTCCTCTCACCTCTGGACGGCAGCACCTTGGCCTGGCTGGCCCAGAGCACACCTGCATGGCCTGCGGGTCGAGAGACGGCTGTGGAGGCCACTGGTCTGGGCGCCGTCCCGCCTCCGAGGACCAGGCACCCACTCCTGTCCTTCCTGTAATCACTGACCTGCTTTCCCTGACAGTGCGCCCTCGCACACCTTACACACGCCCCCACATACTTTATACGTGCTCCCACATGCCTTACACGCACAACCACACACTTTACATGCACCCACACACCTTACTCGTGCCTTATACACGCACCTTACACCCTACACACCTTATACATGCCTTCACACACCTTACACACGCCCCCACATACTTTATACATGTTCCCTCATGCCTTACATGCACAACCACACACCTTACATGCACCTCACACACCTTACACATGCCCCCACATACTTTATACATGCTCCCTCATGCCTTACATGCACAACCACGCACCTTACATGTACCCACACACCTTACACGTGCCTTATACATGCACCTCACACCCTGCACACCTTACACTTGCAACCATGCACCTTACACACACAACCATGCACCTTACACTCACCCACGCACACCTTACATGCATCTCACACACCTTACATATGCCTTACACACACCTTACACACGTACCTTACACCCTGCACACCTTACACATGCCTTCACACACCTTACACACGCCCCTGCATGCCTTACATGCACAACCATGCACCTTACACACACCCACACACACCTTACACGTGCCTTACACACGCACTTACACATGCTCTCTCACACCTTAATAGATAGATACTTCACACATTATCATGTGCAACCTAATACGCCTTTGCACACACCCTCACACACACCACCTTACACACTCCACCCTTACTTGCCCTTACACACTCATCCCTTACACCGAAACCCCCTCACACACACCTCATTTGCACCCCTTGAGCCCCCTCATGTCCACCTCACACCATCACTCTCACACACTCTCACCTCTCACACACGCACCCTCTCACTGCCATCCTCACACACAACTGTGCTCACAGTCACACACTCACCCTTATTCACAGGCAGCTTGCCTTCACACTCACGCACACCCTCACTCACAGACACACTCAGCACTGACCCTCACGCACACACTGACCCCCCCAACAGCACACACTGGCCCTCACACACACACTGACCCTCACACATACACTGGCCCTTACACACACAGTGACCCTCACACACACACTCAGGCTCTCACATACACACTCTGCCCCCCCACACACACACACTGACCCTCACACACACACTCTGGCCCTCACATACACACTCTGCCCACACACACACACACACACACACACACACTGGCCCTCACATACATGCTGGCCCTCACACACACACTGACCCTCATGCACACACACTGGCCCTCACACACACACTGGCCCTTACACACACTGATCCTCGCATACTCACTTCTTCCCTCATCACACTCGTGGCCTCCGTGGCAGGCAGGGCCAGGCCTGAGCACGGGGTCCCAGGCCCGGGCTCTGCGACGTGACTCTCCTTCTCCTGCTGGCCGGCGCAGACTTCCTAGCAGGACAGGGCGAGGTCTGTGACCACAGCGGGTCTGTGACCACAGTCGGGCCCACGTTCTCGGGTTCAATCCTGCTGTCAGGAAGGACGTGAGGTGCCCGGCCCCCGGCAGTGCGGCCTTTAAGTGGCGGTGGATGGCTTACCGTGAATCACCAAGCTCTCGCACCTGGCTATCCTTACTTCAGGTTCAAAAGAAAACTGAGTCCTGTCTGTTTTGTTTTGTAGATTCAGAACATGAACAACATAATCTCCTTCCCGCTGGACAGCCTGCTGAAGGGCGACCTGAGAGGAGTGAAGGGGGTACGCCACGAAACCCCGGTCCGGGCAGTCTCCAGGTCACGGGAAGCTCAGGGCGGCACCGGCAGGCCCCACTGGGCTGGCAGGCTGGCTTCTTCTGTCCCGGTCTCCATCGACCTGCCCTCTGGGCACTCTGCAGCCGAGCCACGAGCGGGGACTCCGTGGGGACTCCCTGTGGGTGCTTCGGAGGGGAGGGAGTAGAGGGCAAGCAGCGGCTCTTGGAGACTAGGGACAGTTTTGGGCTTCCCGAGTCAAGTGGAGAAAACTGGGGAGCAGCCTGGGTTTCCTGTGGGCATCGCTGATGTGCACCAGGCAAGGATCCTAACGAGGGCATTTCCCGAGGGGAGCTTGGCACCCATGGGCGAGCGCCAGCTCCACTGTCCGTCCCCGCAGGCTGTTGGGGAGAAGTGCAGCAGTCCGGGCTGGGGGTGTTGGTCCCACACCCCGAGCGGTGAGTTGCTTTTGCACCCCGCTGGCCCTGGCTGATGTGTACTGTGAAAGGGACCCAATTGTGGCTGAGGTCTCCGTCTGGGTCTGTACGTCACTCCTGGGCCACGTCGGGGCACGTCTGGGAGCTCAGTCTGGCCCATCTTGGGACCTCTGCGGGGGCTTCTCAGCATCCTCTCGCCGAGAGCTGTGAGGACACCGAGGCTCAGTACTCATCACCTGGCACAGGGGCCTGGAGGATAGGATAGATCCGCCACGTTCATAAGGAGAGGGAGCGATGGGCCATCAGAAGGCGTGACTCGGCCCACGCTGGGCTGTCAGGACAGGAGCAGTCAGGGCGCCCGGCAGGAAGGGCTGGTCCATGGAGGACCCTCGGGGAAAATCCAGGGGACTGCCTGCCCAACTATGGCAGGCAGTGGCCACTGAAGGATGAAAAATTTTAAAATATTCCGAAAAAAGGAGGGGAGTGTAAATAAACAGGAAGCATTTATAAAATTCCTAGTGACTCAGTAATTCTTGGAGCGAGGCTTTTTCAGAAGATGAAGTCCCCGATTCAGAGAGAAGAGCAAAGGAGACCCCAGGAGCGTGTGGGTGGCTCGTGTTCTTTATATTGGGCTCAAGTCAGGGCTGCATGTGTGGAGGAGAGTCTTACGTTAATAGAAAAAGGCCCGATCCCTTTCTTTAGAGAAACGTACCAAAATATTGATAGTGGCAGATTAAATTGTGTCTTTCTGGGTTTACTTTCAGGATGCACGCAGGGCAGAGAGTAGGTGAGACAGGGTGGGTCGAAGAGTCATCACTTATTACAGGAAGTGCTGCTCCTTTCACGACCAGTCTAGACATAAGGAAGCTTATCTTGCACAGAAGTTAATAATTAGTCCTGCCTAATTTATGCCTCTCTTTTACAGGATCTAAAAAAGCCTTTTGATAAAGCTTGGAAAGACTATGAAACAAAAATGTGAGTGTTTTTATTTAAAAATATTTGCGTAGGTCTTTTGTGCTTTAAATTTTAAATCAAGGTTTTATTACTTAAAGGGATTATCGGAAATAGAGCTTGATCCAGGGAAGAGTTTACCTGAAGCTGCGTTTTTTTTTTGTTTTTTTTTTCCTTTGGAGAGGTTTTTGCTATAGGGAGCTTGCGCTTACCAGAAAGACAGAGAGAGAGAGACAGAGAGACAGAGAGCGAGAAATCACCTCCCAGGGGGATGGCCACGTCACAATCCCTTCTCCTCCATTCTCCTCTGGGGATCTTGGGCACGCACACACACGCGCCCGGCATGAGTTTACGCCACCGGGTCCAGGACTCAAATTGCTGTCGGCTACGTGGGAGTTCAGCGACATAGCCATCACGCTAACTGCTGGCTCCCTGTGGTTGTTTTGACAGCCCGTCTTTGGTGAGATCAGCTTCTTCTAGAGAGATTTCCCCATCCTTTCCTCTGTGCTGTTTTCCTGGCTGTCAAGTGCTATTTTCAGGAAAGTTCATTGAAGGAAATTAAGGCCCCTTTCTCTTAGGAAGTATTTCTTTTCTTTTTGTTTCTCTTTTTAAACATTTTCCCTGCTTTTGACTCTACTGGTGACAGTGCAGTTTTTAGACTTCATCTTGATGATTTGCGGAAACCGTCTGCTTTTAGCTTCATGTCTGTCTCTGAAATACCAGTCCCTTGGTTTTAGAAACAGAGACTGTTCAACATCCATCTTCTTCAGCTGTAATTGATTGCTTCATTTCCCAAAAAAGAACTGGAAGAATGGGTTAGTGGCTCCTTAGGTGCGTACTGCTGCTTCTGCTCAGGACCAGGCACCCGCTGGCTGACTCCGGGCAGCTGTTACTGCACCTGTCCGTCACAGCTTCTCATTCTAGAACGGAGAGAATCTCACCAGCTAGAACGGAGCTAAGGACTGTGCAGAATGATGGTTTCAATTATATTAAATATTGGAGATACAGAACAGAAATTTTATTTGCCAGGGCATATGAGCTTGGCAGAGGCAGGGGAGAGAGAGACAGAGAGAGAGAGACACAGAGAGACAGAGAGAGAGAGATGGAGAGAGAGAGACAGAGAGCAAGAGACAGAGAAGGGAGCAAGAGACAGAGAGAGAGGGAAAGACAGAGACAGAGAAAGAGAGAGACAGAGAGCGAGCGAGCACCCCCCAGTGGAGTGTGATCTCACTGCCTTCCCTTGTCCTCTCTTTCTTCATCCTCTTGGAATTTGGGGCACACACGCGCACATGCTCGGCATGTTTTTCAAGCTGCAGAGGCCAGGATTTGAACCCTGGTCAGCCACATGGGATCCAGTCCCTTAACAGTGACAACCAGGTCAGACCAGGGAATACTCTGAAATGCTTCGCGTTTACTTTGTAATCACTGTGCCTACCCTGGGGCTCTTCAGAAAGTGCCTGTTCACGTGTCCACACGGCCCTTACAGGTTTTCAGTTCTCTCTGTAGTTCTGACCCTCTTTTGTCCAGGACAAAGCCCCAGGGTCCTATCAAGCCCTTCTTAGCCAGTGAGATACTGGGGCTCCTTTTTACCCCGGTCACTCTCCTTGGCATGTGCCCCAGTTGGCCAGTTTGTACCCTGAACTGCAGGCTGGACGCTCAGGTATACGGTCAGGCCCGAGGCACACATGGAAGGAGAATGAATTCGGAAAGATGGAAAGGTGTTTTGTTGTTCCTCTCCTGAGCTCTGTGTGGATCAAGGCAGGAGACTTGGGGGACTTCACCAAGTGAGAGGGACGGAGTGGGGAGAGAGGTCTCAGGGGAACGTCTGGGAAGGAGGAAGGAGTCACTGGCCAGTCGGTCTCCCCTGGATCCTCAGAGGCTGAGGGAAACCTCGGCACCACGTGCAGCCCCGGCTCTGACTCGGTGAGAGCCCAGGAAGCGTTTGTTGAGTGCGCCATGGAGGGCCGAGTTCGACGCGTTTGTGTCAACATGCATTCTCCTTCCGAGTGAGTGCAGAGGCCGCCCTTGCCGTCAGCCATGTGCGGTGAGAGCCTGACTCAGCGCCCGGGCGCGGGCCGGCTCCGAGGCCGACTTGGTCTGGAGTGCCGTGCCAGGCGGCATCTCGATTTATCCTTGCTTTTCTCACATGTAGAACCAAAATAGAAAAGGAGAAGAAGGAACATGCCAAGCTCCACGGGATGATTCGCACTGAAATAAGTGGCGCCGAGATTGCTGAGGAGATGGAGAAGGAGAGGCGCTTCTTCCAGCTGCAGATGTGCGAGGTGAGGGGCGGGAGGGCAGGTGCTCTGCCCGGAGGCGGGGAGGCCGGGAGGCTGGGCCACCTGCGCCTGCAGCCATGTGGGAGCCTGCCAGCTCTCCAGGGAAGTCTTCCCACTCAGCCCGCTGACTTCGGAGACGGCGCCACCCGCAATGCTGGCCTCCGTTGTTGCCTGTGTTTTTTGTTTTTTTTTTTTCTTTTAAGCTAAGGGAGTCTTCCTCCCCTGGAGGGTAGAATTAGTTGACTCCAACACTTGCCTTTTATTAAAAGATAGAGACACAAGCTAAATTTAATGAGTCATTCTGGTCTTATATATATGAAGAGGTCTTGAAAAAGTTCATGAGAAATTGAGATTTAAAGTACAGGTTTATCATGGTACAAACAAATTTGAAATCTATGCATTTTTTTTCATAATAGTCATTTTCCTCGAACTCTTTGAAGACCCCACACTCTCTCAAACTGGCTTCCCTCTCGTTGGAGTCAGCTACATACACCCTAGCTGTTTTGTTTGTTTATTGCTAAAAGGTGTGTGTGCTTTCCAGGGAGAGAGAGAGCATGTCTAGGGTGGTCATGCTGTAATTCCTTTTCTCCCATTACTCCTTCCTATCAGAACTTCCAGCACGCATGCACACACTGCATGTTTTTCAAGCTGACGGGGCTGGGACTTGAACCAGGATCATCCACGTAGGATCTGGCTCCCTTAACTGCTGAGCCACAGGGCTGGCCCTCCGCAGGTGTTTTTTAAATGAGGTGTCTGGGTTCCTTTTGTACCAGTAGAGTCAGTGACATGAGTCGGAGTGGGTGAGAAGTCAGCTGGGAAAAAACCTAGCTTGGGAGATGGCCACCCTGTCGCCCTCTGTGTCAGGTGAGCCACGCGTTAGGGAAGCCACGTCACTTGTCTTTGGAAGCATTTCCTCCCAGACGTCCTCGGCAGCGTGCGGGGGCACTCACGGAGGCAGGAAGCCCAGGTGTCCTGGTGATCTCTCCGAGAACACTCTGAGATTTGAGACCATCCAGTCGTGGAGGGCTTTGTTCACGGCCTTTCTACTTTCACACCTCGCTCCTGGACGTGTGTGCAAACGGCCCCCGCTCCTCGCCTGTGGGTTCCCTCCTGGCAGCCACGTGGCCCCTCACAGCAGCAAACACTTAGGTTTTGTTTTTTTTTCTTGGAGAGGTTTTGCTATAGGGCGCGTGCGCTCGCCAGACAGACAGAGACAGAGACATAGAGACAGAAAGCGAGAAATCACCCCCAGGGGGGATGGTCACGCCGCAATCCCTTCTCCTCCATTCTCCTCTCGGGATCTTGGGCACACACGCACACA